AGCGAAACTTTAGTGGGCTTTAGACGTTCTAACATGATCACATGTTTATTTCGTTGTCCTAAAAGCTGTATTTCAGTCTTGCAGATAGCGGATAGTTTTACAGATGTCTACTCTTTACGTAATTCTGAGAAGCAAGTTGGTATTAATTTTGTAACTTCAATATCGCTTGGAAACTTTTAATTAATGTGACTTTTAAGTGATGTGATTAAACCAAATTTGATAACAAAATGTTTGTATCCGACATGTAAAGTTGTATTATATTCATATATTGGTTGATGATATTTCCTATATCTCTCCTCCTATATTTTATAATCGCATCTCTTTTTCTCTCTTCATTTAAATTGTGTTCATTCTGTGTACTTAAAGAACTTTCATCTAGAGCATATTTGGTAACACTCTATGGCTAACAAACTTGTAGTAAAATGTTACATAAGTATCTACCGAGTTATTTCAATAAAATAAAATGATATTCTCCTCTTTTCCTCTAAAAGTTGTTCGCGAATATGCGGCGAAAAAGTTCATGAAGAATGCGTAAGTCTGTTGTAAAGTCTGTTCGGCATAATTCTTAACAAAGTGTGTCGTGTAAAAATTCTTCATGATACCGAATTAATTTATGTGACAAATATGTGCGGAATGACATAAGAATGATGAAGAAAACAGTAGCAAGCTGTTTGTTTACAAATTATAATTTATATCAACGGCAATTAATTAACATACGATTAATTTGATAAAGTTACACACAAGACAAACAACGTAAAGTATTGTTTATCACTTCAAAGGTAACCAGTCGGATAAACTTTCTGTATTTTGTAGAAATACTGTGAATCATAGTGGCTAAACTTGAATTTACGTAATGCATACTAATGAAACGCCTTTATCAATTATGTGATAAAGAGCTATTCTATTTTTACAAATCAAATAATATCTACTGCTTTATATAAATTGTAAAAATACACATACATAATAGAAACAACGATTATTTTTTTAAATTATTCGCGCGGATTCGTTTTAATTAACAATTTAATTCCAAAATATCCAGAAATTATTTCTATTGAATCTTTTCTCTCGTGTAATAATTTTCAAACTAAAAATAATTTTTCCGCTTAATGTTATAATATACCACAGAAAAATCGTGATAAAAATGCCTCCTTCCCACGCCATTCTAATTACTACATCTCGTAATAGCTTTAATGTTTTGCTTTGATGATTCTGAGAGATGAATGAGCTTTAATAATCAATATTCTTTATATATACTTTTATTACAACAAAATAATAATTATATATATAATCCTATTGTCAAACGTCGTATATCGTCAGAAATATAAAATATTCGCTGAATTGTAAAATATTATGCACGTTAAATCGTTGCAGTGGTTAAATTGCACAAGTCTGCAAGGAGGTAAGACAAGTTACAAGTCGCTCATTTTTCTCGACGAAAAAATAATGAAAAAAAGTAAGCACCTAATTCGCTACTGGAGTACCTTGACTTGGGCGTAATACGTCGTCTACAATACACGAAGCGAGAAGTAAGAGTAAGAAATTGATCAATCACGGTCGATTATTATTCTTCTCATATTCGACTTTGATTGGTCAATTTCTTACTTTTACTTCTTACTCCGGGTATTGTGGACGACGCATAAAGTAGGTAAAGGTTGGACAGGACGTTTCTGTGGTACCCTTGCGCGATTCCGTCAGGAAAATGAGGAGAGGAGGATTTGTCATCGCCTGCGAGGCGCGAGACCGGAAATACGATTTGTACGTGCAATCGATCAAAACAAACCTTCGTCTCATGGCACCGTAGTGGCGCGGCTGTGGCAACGGTCGCTCTATCCGAGGCGATGCGATGAGCTAACGCCAACTTAACGCTACACACCCCACTGAGCCGCACTCGGTCAGATAACTCGTGGATTTTCAAGCACTCTGCAGACTCTCCAATCGCTTCCTCACTTGTGGATTCCGCCGCCGCGGTGGTTAATTCGCACAGAGAACCTTCGCGGAATTTTTCACGCAAAAGGAATCTAAATCGTCGGATCGTTACACTTGGAATGCTTGGATATAAGGGGCAACAATTTTTAGATTTTTATAATCACACGACATGAAATAACAAATATATCTTATTTATATGTATATCATTTTACACAATATAATAATATTTATCTATATGTATAATTCCACTGTTAAAGCTTCGTTTAGCTTTAGCTGTTTTACTGGAAATATAAAACATTTTTGTTTACTATATAAAGAATTACACGAGAGTGAAGAAGTCAATTTCAACAAACAACTAATAGAAATCTCGTATTAAAGATTAATTTCACGAATTGCAAAGTGATACAGATCTTTTTGATCCAGTTTATTATGACTTAATTAATGATTTTTAATTATAAAACTCTATATGTATCATTTATATCACTATTGTTAATATGGAGCTTGATACTATATTTTTTCTAAAATCTTCTACTTATTTATTTATCTTTAAAGAGTTTTATAGATTTGATATAATTGTTTCAATTAATTTAACATGACGGCAGTAATTATTTTAATTATTCAATTTTTTAATGAACTACAAAAGATGAAAGATTCGATCATTAGAACTTTGCGACTATTTCATATTGTTAATACGTACTGAAGAGAATCGAAATCCAGAATCAAAATGTATGCTATTTAAAATTTTGTATATGTATTAATTATTGTTGAAAATACACAATAATTTAAGCACTGCTAATTGGATTGATTCATACCAGCTTTCCTTCTACATTTGTTTCATCATTTTCAGAGCTTTTTAGTATTAAATTAAATTTATTATTATTGTTAGATATGGTATTATTTGCAATTCATTGTTTAATATATATATAAGTTGTACATAATTAAGGAAATTTGGGGGGAAAGGAGGTCAATAGAAAACAATTATTTTCAATAAATTGTTAAAGTAAACCCTGTGGTAGTACTAGTTTTTATGCGTTGCATGCGTCTAAAGTTTGTAGAATTGAAATCCTTTATAGAGAACCGTTAATAAATAAATTATTTCTATGAAACACAAACAAAATTGTTTTGGAATATGTGAGAAAAAATTGATTGAAATTGATACAATTGATTACAAACTTGATGTGTTCGTTCTATCCGCAAAAAAACAAATAGAATACGTTACAATACGGATACAATAATCACAAAAGATTCAATAATATTGTGACTAATATATAATATAAATATACAAAAAAGAGTGAACATACTGTTATTATTTTTGACTATCTTGAATTATTCAAATTTTAATTGTTAATACTCGTATAATAACTTACGTAATTTAATATAATAAAGAAAATATTTATTTATTTTTTCAATGTGTTCTCGATTTTTCTAAATTTATAAGGACCACACATATAGAATATATATCCATTGATAAAATCATTAATATGTTCTGCCAAAAATCAGTATGTTATAATTATGATACATCAAAAGACGAACGAAACAAAATTACTAAAGATTAAGGGGAGAAAGTGTGCGAGTTATTGAATAAAGACGTCACGTTTAGATGCTCCTCTTTAGCTTGGTGTTTTAACTAAGTTAAACAATGACTATCGGAATGTCAAGAGATAGAAATTATGATCTCGCGACGGAGCAGCGAAAGATCCCGCGGAAGGAACAAATCGGTGGATCCGAAGGACACGACGAGGCGGACGAGGTACGTGAGGACTGAGAACTGGAAGGCGTAAGAGAATGGAAATCAATACGTGAAGTGAGCAGCCAGTTTCAGGCAGAAGTTGCCGGCTTTAGAAAGCTTTGAGACGTCGTCTGCCCATCCTCTTCGGACCCTTGTGTTAAGAGAGCTCGAACAGGGATGGGCGAGAGCGAAGGAAGCGCCAGTGACAGAAAGTTAGAGGAAGCGAGAAGGAACGGGGGTGAGTATACGAGAGAACAAGAAAGAGAGAGTGGGTGGGAGGGAGGGAGAGACGAGAGGTTCCATTCAGGACTAATGGGGTTAAACGCCTTAGCCATCAACCGAACGCCTCCCTCTTGATTCTCGGACGTTTCGATTCGTCCGGGGCTAGAATTCGAATTATCCGTAATATCTCCGAACATAGTTTACGTTCGCCGAGACGTCGTCTCGCGAATTAATAGAAGTGTGTGCGCGCGAGTAAAAAAAAACTGGCGGACACGGTATGAATTATCTCAGGAACGTTCTTAACTTTATCACGATGCTGCCCCTTTACGCTTTAAGTGCTGATTTGAAAATTCCTTATTTAAATCTTAAAGCTTAAGCCTTAAGATCCCTTTCATCAATCTAAGTCTTTCCACAATCTTGCTTTAAGAAATTGACCAATCATATATAAGCAGTCGATTATTTTTCTCATATTCGACGCTATTTTATAGAGGTACGTAAGTGTTGGCATCGTTATAATGTAAAATGTCGTAAAAGCAAAACGCCAATCGCAGAAACAGAATTCGTTGCACGTATGGTGGGTTATGTGCCATCGGCATTTCGTAGTCATCGTCCAGAAGTCGTTAAGTTTTATGCTTTTTGAAGGGAGAGGACAAGAGAGAGAGAGAAAAAGAGAGTTCCGCCTTCGTAAAGGTTTTATCATAATCGTTCCCGTGATGGCCCGTCATAATGGAATGCCGGATTAGAAAATGACATATGATCGAAGATCGACATAAAGGGATCTTTTTGATATACTTTTGGGGATCACGATGGGTTTTCGCGCGTCTTAATTTTCTGATCGCATACGCAACTTTGGAGACTGTGATTTTTTTTTATCTCGTCCTGTACCATAACTCTAAATTATTAGATTATGAATAATAATTCTGGATTTATTTTAACATTACGAATTAAAGAATTGCAAGCTCAACATTCGATTCGATATTTTCGATATTATTCTTCCTACAGTTATGAACTTGTTGATAACCTTTCACATATATATTGTTCGTTTTGTTTTTCAAAATGATCTCTATAGTTGTGCATATCGATAAACATTGAAATTCTACAATTTTACAATTGGAAAACTTACCTTTGTGTGCCATGTCGTCAGCAGTGACCGAAGCTATGAGGCCGGTTGCGCCCGGCCATGGAGCGACCGCAGCGCCCAGTTGCTGCGAAGGCAGAATCTTCGGGCCTTTGAACACTTCTCGTTCACTGAAACCCATAATTAATATTGTTAAAGAAAATCTCAATCTCGTACGTAGCACACACACACACACACACACACACACACACAAATAACAATAATGTCTTTCCGTCTCAAAAACTAGATTATCAGACCAATTCGTTTGATTGAGAAAGCAAAAGGTAGTACCTAGACTATCTCAAGACTTAAATATAAAACCAGCGAGATGCACGTTAGTAAACACAACTACAAAATAACTTTTGGCAATCAGTAACATGAAAAATGGTGCTTGTACCGAAGATACTTGACGGTTTCAATGACCCACTCAAACTATCCCATATCAAACGTCGTAGTTAATTCGGCGCCCGCGACGTATGCTCGAAATTTGTATGTATCTTTGACACCTGTGTAAATCTGCGTCATTTGCATATCGCGGTCGCATATGCGTTGCTTTGGACAGACAAATAAACCGATCTCTTCCCGCGCTGTTACGCTAAACCGCGCGGTTCCTATCCTACCGCAATGTATCATACAATCTACTTTAACCTTGCGTTTTACAAGCACGCAAGAAAAAAAGATATATATATAAATATATAAATCATTACAGATCTTTCTGTCAACAGATATTGAAGAACAAACAAAACTTGAAGAAAAATTAATGGCGATTGTATCTATTGTACGAAATATAAATATACAAATACATTAAATCATGTAGAAATATAAAACAAGATTTAAAAAATTTCAGAGAAATTAAAATTCGAAGAGATAAATAAAAATCTTTTAGAAATAGAGAGATTAAGACTTACCAACAATAACAAATTTCAATGTAAAAAAAAGGACATGTAAGAGTCAACGCGGATGTCGGTGTGTAAAATTATAAAATTTTAATTATATAATATTAAATTTACATTAAGAAAATCGAGATGATAATATCATAAAGTTTACGTTATTACATGTTTCAGCTACCTTCTTAAGTTCTTAGCTATTTTGAACATCTCCAGATGTACAAAATAGATCGATTAAGGAAATGCAATAATATCTTTGCAGTTCTTATGCTGAATAACTCCAGAGACCACAGAATTGTCCAGAGAACGATTGAAAGACCGTAAAGCGAAAGATTCTAGAAATTGTGAACTTTAATACACCAAAAAGTGAAAGCAAAAAACTATAATGTTCTATACAATCGAGTAATCTTTGTGAATTAAATAGACTCACTATTAAAACTGCAAACAACGCACAGAGAAACTTTAAATGGAAAATTTGTCAAATATTTTAAGTCAATGAAAAAGTTACAAAGTAAAATTTCTCAAATTATTAAAATGAACGTCAATTCATCGCAGACAGACGCTGACTAAGAAAACAATCATGATAGCGCAGGTTTTGTTTTGTTTATAATAAGAAAATAAGCAAGGTAAAGAGACCCTCTATATCTCTGTTTGGTTTTCCTATTATTATTACTTTTTTTATTATACGTATTGTCCTGCACCAAAGTCCTACTTAGTAATAATAATTCTTAGTAATTTTACGATATTTATGTTATTTAGCAGCAGAGCTGTTTGTTAATAATTGCATGCACTATTATACGATACCAGTCGGTATTCTATACAGTTCTCAAATACAAAGAACGTAAATCATCTCTGAAACAAATGGAATTGTCTCGAACGTCGTAACATTGACACGCGGTATTAAGTGTTTTAAATAATTACCGAGACTCACGCTCGTTGAAGATGTGAACTACTCGCAAATGTAGCACCCTCCATATATTTTTCACTACTACAGACAGAAAAAAAAGAGAATGAAGTGAGAGTTGGTGGTACTAGAGGGAATGAGAATGGAGCTAAGCGCGATAATTAGTGTCGGAGTTAGTCGGCTGAAAGCGTACGTTGTATCACTCCATACATAAAAAGTATATGAGAAGCTATAAGAAGACAAACAGTTTGTGGAAGGAATTTAAATGCAGAGGGTAAAAATCATATCAAATCGTTAACGGCATTGCAAAATACATTATAAAAATTAAAAGTAATCTCCAGAAGTTTCACTTACAGATGCTTCCATTACATTTACTTTGATTATAAATCGAAATCAATTTTAAATGTCTTTAATGTGAAACATGCTTTATATGTTATAAGCAACTCGAGAAGGGTAACCGATAACTCACGCAGCGCATAAAATGAGAAATAATTCTCAAGTTTGAAGTTGTGACAAAGGATGATACTCATAGTCGGACCTCATATTTAAGATCGTCTTAAATACATTAAGATTTATCATGAACCAATCAGAGTCGCGTATTAGTATCTTAAAACATTAAACTTAAGACAGTCTTAAAATAATAACGCACTAAAATACAGCTCAAAGATACTATATTTGATGTCAACTCCAAATCGAATAAAACAGTAAGTATATGTATTGCATTTAGTTTAAATAATATTTTATTGGAGAGATATCCTATTCACATATGGTATTACTTCACCAATACGCAAAATGAGATATATGTTTTTTTTACAGCAGAAGAAAAATGCCAATACCGACAAAGACATCTCTTTCACAGGGATGTTTATGCAAGGCTCATTGAATCGAATCAAATTCACGTTATAATTTATAAGACGATTCCCTTCCGGTTATCGCGATGGAATTCAATGCGAGGCAGCACAAGTGTCTGCACAGGACACTTCTGCCTTTTTCCCCTTTCATTATCCACGATGCTCTTTGCGCTACAATACGAGAGGAACGCTTCCTTGTGCTAAGAAGACGGCGCGGGAGATGAAATACAGAGGAAAAGAGGAAAGAGCTGCACCAGAGGCGCGAAAAGCATACGTTTATGTATATACGAGAGAAAGAGCGAGAGAAACGAGTAGGAGTGGAAAGAGAGAGAGAGAGAGAGAGAGAGAGGTTAGAACGCATCGCATTCGCATATTGTGCAAGAGGATTACCTCGGATTATGCCCGACTGAGCGCAAACAGGATCACGTCACTTCTGTTTGCAAGACGCCAAGCTGTCGATTTAGTGAACTCAAACTCGATTCTATCTCGCGTGGAATCGCCAGCGGAACAGCGATTTTCCGAGAAACTTTTTTTTATTAATCGTACGTGATTTAAGTGCGGTAAAATTAAATATTGCACAATGTAGACTTATTACATGCACGATCAACTTTTTAAAATTCTCTTTCAATTATAAAACAATGTAATTAATGCGAAACACTACTGTGGCTTTTAATAAGTTGTAATCATAACAAATATCAATGTCTAATTATTATAGAGAAATATTGCTTTTCTTATTTTTCCTTTCATTCAAGTATTTCTTTTCCAAATCAAGAACATGCCATTTTTCAGATAATTTAATTAACATTAAATGTTTTTACTATTCCTTGGTTAATTAATTTTTTATTAAATTAAGAATATATCATTGCCAATTAAGTGTCAAATGTTTCTTATGATCGCATTAACCGTGAAACGGGATTCTTCTAAATTTTGGATGATTTGCAGAAAATCCATGGAAACAAATTAACAACTCAACTAATTGTTTGAAGAAACAAATTATTGAAAACGTTGAGCAAATAGAGGAACTCTTGAACTTCTTGAACTGAAATTAAAATTTTCCAAACTGTCAGAGGTCGTTCGCTGCTGATCTAACAAAAATGAGACGTGGAGAACAAAGTTAGGGCGGAAGCACGAAGTCATGCAAACGCATAATGCATAAGAAAATGATCCAATTAAAGGTTCATTTCCTTTATTTCCTTCCTTTCTATAAAATAAAAGATTCTGATTAGTTGATTTTTTCGCCTTTGTTACATAAGAATCTGTACTGCTGCGCGTCCTTAACGCGTAGTTATCGCGGAACAAATTCGAACACTTGAACGCTCCGTAACGCAAACGTAACGCAACGCAACGCGGCGAGACGCGAGGTGCAATGGGGCGGCGGCGGGAGGAAGGTAGCATTATACACGCGGATGGTAATAGGTTCCATATCCACGAGCTGCCGGCGCATTATGCTTTACATTTCCGGCGAAACACTGTTAATGGCACCCACAATCGTCGCTACCGCGACTACCGTCGAAATTCACCCCCGTAATACACGCCCAACAACCCCCGCAGGCATTAACCGCTCGCGCTACCGTATAAAGTGACTTCCGCTCGCGATTATGTTTCGTCGTGAGCACGTACACGTTTGTGCGTTTGTACATTAATTATTAATTAATACCGAAGAAGAATGAGGCCGCGTATTATCGGCGGTAAACTGTTTCACGTAATCGAGGACGATTGAGAGATAAATTGCTTTAGAGAGCACCAACGTACACAGCTTGCGCGGGATTAATTAGTTCGATTTGAAGTATCTACCTGTGCTTTTGTATTTCTTTTTTTTTTTTTACTTTTATTACGTTTACACATACACACGCAAACGCGCAGATATATTTAACATTTCCTTATCAAAAATCTTATGTAAATGTTATATTTGTTATATCTCTTAGGAAATTTGACACACACACACACACACACACACACATATATATCATTATATAATCATTATGTAATCAAACTCTTATGTCATTATTATTTTTGAGAAATATACATCTCTCTTCCTATCTAACAAAATAAGATAATAATGAGAATATGGACTTTTTTACACAAGACAACTGCAATAATCAAAGCAATATTAATTTTCCTTAATTGCTAAATTATTCCTGGATTTGGAGTATCAGAGTACGACATTTATATCCTATCCCTCAATGCATTCAGCAACATAATTTCTACAATCACTATTTTCTTCATCTTTAATTAATCTGTATAGCAATGTGCATACATTCGGAAAAATTTTTTTTGCACACGGCTTCACAGAAATTTCCTTAATTGCCGTATGACAACGGTCGAATCAACGTACATATTTAATGATATTTCTCGTTTTCATTTTACTTCGATATCGATCAATCCGATAAT